TTTTTTTTTTGTGAAAAAAGTTGGGGTGTTTGGTATATTGCATGGGCATGAAAGAGAAAATTGGGCCGTTTTGATATCATTTCCTTTTATATGATGAATCCAAACGGTACTGCCATCATATTTTTGGGTGCCTGGTTTTTTTTTTGTTTTTTTTTTTGTTTTTGGTAATTAGTGACATTTTTTGGATTGGGCCGAAATTTTGTACAAAAATCACATTTTTGTTTTTTTGGAAGGTAAATTTGACAAGAGTTTTTACTTTTTTATGACTTTCCCGGACACGCCTCCGTCTAACACGTCGTGAAGCATTCATTGATTTCAAATAAAACTAACGTATACATTATGTGACTCCGATGGCCTAGAGATCATTTGTTGATAAGACTGGAATTGAATATTACCTCATCATTGATGCCATTCAGTGACGAGTCATGAATGATCGATTATCGATATCACCCTAGTTGAAGCTATGGCAAATAATTGATTATTAAGGTGTTCGGTGCGAACATCCTGCCTATTCTGCCATGCTAACGAAGAACGCCGTATGAACATTCCAGAGTCGTCAAATTTCCTTCGATAAAATGTTTATCATCGAGGAAATTTATGAATATTTTCCATTGAAATTTTCAGGAACTTCAGTTGAAATTACGAGCAAAATTATCTGAAAAATTATCTGAAAAATATTCATATGTTTAGCAGGAAATTCGTGTTTTATCAAAGGAAATTTGGCAACGCATTACATTTTATACGGGGTTTACCTTACCATGGCAGTATTGATACTTTTCCAGAGGTTTAAATGGCAGATCAATCGATATATCGCAAAACATGCCATGCCGTTGATGTCATTCTTTTTTCGTCCGGCTCTTTTTTTGCCTTACAGTGCTACAATATAGACTTACGCCTTGATACTTGACGAGGTAAGCCATTGATCCCCCGTTCTGAATATCAAAAGCCTCTCTTCCTCAATTTTCGGACAGTGATTTTTTATCAGCTAAGCACACACATAAACCCACATGGTTAGATTAAACGCATACAGTCCTCGAAATGGATAAAACAACTGCGGCTGCCACTACCAGTAAAGTTAGTCTTACATCTAAGACGTATTCTGCCGTGCTAAGGAAAAACGCCGTATGAGCATTCAGATCAGACGCTGCCATATCTCTTTGAATGAAAAACGAATTTTCTGGGAAAATTCTGAATATTTTTCCTCCAATTTTTCAGAGAATTTCGTTAACACTTTTATCTAAAAAATCTGAAAATTCCAAGGAAAAATGTGCAGAACTTTCTTCAACAATATATGTTTTATTCGGGGAAATTTGGCAATTATTGAAGGTTCATACGGCGTTTTTCCTTAGCATCGCAGTATTATGTTCGACGTTACTAGTCAGAGGAGCGCGTAACATTCATATGTTAATCGGATGTAGTCTATGCTGAGGGATGTGGACTATTTTAATTCGTTTATTTTTCGCACAATCTGGCAACGGTTTGCAACATTATTACGGAGCAGTCACAACGCGCTCAAAGAACGAAACGACAAAGTGTAAAATTTGATAATATTATTTCTAACCTTACTTCTACCTTCTCCGCTCTCATTGGCTATGAACCAGTGACGCAAATAACTCCAAATCCGTAACAGGAAACAGTTTTTGGACGAACAAAATACCACTCATTTTTGGTTAAATTTTGTCGAGCTCACCCGAAATGAATTCTCGACATTTAATCTCTAACATTCTTTGCCTAGTTTGTTCATTCGGAATTTATAAATCGGTGAGTAGAATCTTCTAGCTCCAATCTACATAGTTTATATTCTTTTTTGCTCGCATAGAAAATAGCAATAGGAACACATCCATATAGGGTCTTTTTACACAGGAGGTTTCTTCAGAGACATCAGAAAAAATTGGGCAACGTTTCATTAGTTAGGATTATTCCCGTTAAATCTACACAATTCTACACAATTTTTCTTCAACTTTGATAACGCTAAGACGCTAACTCACCGATATTTATTTTGTTGTAGGTCTTTTTGCCCAGTCGAGTTATTTGAGAGTTTTTAGGGGATCACACGAAAGTTCACTTACATCTTTACCTAATCTAAAACTTAGCTCCTGAATACATTTCTGACATTTCTTAATAAATATAAATTGTTAATTTAGAAACATGGATAGTTAAAGTTAAAATGAAGGAGTTGGAGGACAAGGCGCATAAGTGCAGTTTTTGAAAAAATTGAGGTATAAATGATTTCAAGTAAAACTAGTCTTTATGCATATTCTGTGAAAAATTCGCCCCCAAATTCAAATTTTTAAGCATAAAAAAGTCAGTTTGAACTTTCTTTCCGCCGCTAGGATTCGGGATCGGAAACTTCAAACACGTATTTCTCGAAAAAGCAAGAACTGCACTTATGCGCCTTTTCCTCCACGCCCCTCATAAAATCTTCTTTTATTCGCGCCATGCTGATAAAATACGTCTAGATGATTCTTGCAATTGATGATGATCATGCTTAATGATTATTGATTATTGATTTATGATTTATTAATGAAAAAATAGAAATGAATTTACGCAAAACATTCATAATCTAATGTCATACAATTTTCTTTTGTTACAGGTAAGAGTCACTTCCGTCTTGATGTCACAACATCATTTACTCATTGCACGTAAGAGACCCTGCCAATTTTACTTTTAAATCTTCTCTTCCTGGTTCTTTCTCAAAGAAGCAAAAACTGCACTCATGAGCCTTGTCCCCCAAGCCCCTCAAATAATCTGTCAATCTGATGTCAATGATCCATTTGTTATTTAAAGGTTTCAGGACATTCCGTCAACGATTTTTTGTCCGCGCACCTGTTTTGTCCAGTAGTTTACGTCCGCGCGTAAAATTGGCAACAGTGACTTGGTCCAAGCGTTATATTTTAGTACGTATGTAAAATTATATTGACAATTTAGAAATGAGAAAATTGAGAGAGAAGGAGGTTTTGTTGTAGTAACTCATCTTTTAAATGAAATGTCACTTTCTTCTTCTTCCTTTGATTCATCTTGTTTAATTGTCATTGGTGAATATTTGGTTTTGTTTCTATTCTTAAAAATGTCGATATGAAATATACCTTAATTTTTTTCTTCTTTTTTTTGAAAAAAAGAAAGAAAGAATTACTTCATTTTTAAGACTTGGCAGATATTTGTATAATCTTTTCCAAGCGATGGCATCCATATTAATCTCAATAAGTAGTAGCTCTGTAGAAAGGAGGTATTCATAAATGATTTAGAGAGAAAATACATAAAGAAGCACGCAATCTTTGGTCAACCAAATTGTACATCGATCTCTTAGAATCAAATACGTCCAATTTTCAGCGTTTGATTGCGCGTACCCCACGCTACAGCACAAAAAAAGTACAAAATGTAACAGAAAAAAATTAAAGTGCTATGAAAATCACTAAAGTTTACACGGAGCCACCTTAATATTCACTAAATACACATTTTATTTTCCTTTAATACATATCCCCTCCCCCATTAATTGAAATGAGAATAAACCATGCAGAGCGTGTAAACATTTCAACATCTTGAGTTTAAAAACGCTAACTCCGCGAGTATAAATATTAGAACCTAATACAGAGCCGAGCGGCGTGTTAGCAGCGCGAAACGCGCACTTTTCCCCCCATCAATTTAAATAAGAATAATTAATTTAGAGTGTGCAAACATTTCAAAATCATGAGTTGGAAAACGCGGACTCCGCGAGTTTAAATATTAGGGCTAAACACGGAGCGGAGCGGTGTGCTGCCAGCGCGACGCGCGTTGGCGCCTACAAACCTAACAGGGATACTTCACGCATTGCGCAACGCGTGAAGTATCCCTGTTAGGTTTGTAGGCGCCAATGCGCGTGTCACGCTGGTCGCCCTCGCCCGCCGCGGCGCTTCAAGCAACAATTTCGCAACAGAGGTGTTGCACAGTATCATACGAAATTGAAGGTGCTCCAACTTATTAAGTATGACAGGCACCATGTAAGAGTACGGAGCTTTCCTTGCAAACTAAATCAAGATACTACGGCACAAGAAGAGAGTGATACTCCAAAAACTCACCAAGTCCTAGCATCTGTATTTAATAACATTTAGCATAGTTTTTGAATTTCATCAAAGAAAATAATGACTCGATTTAGGCAGAAAAATTGTTGAGTATGCCGTCAAGAAGATTGTATTTTGAATCAAAAATAAAATAGCTTAGTGAAAGCGGGGTTCTGCTTGATGTAAGTGACTTTGGTTTTTACATAAGCATCTTTTCTTCTTTAAAGAAGCATTATTTTCTTTATTGGTTCCTAAAAAAATCTTCTCGTCGGTAAATTTGAGCATATTACTGCTTCAATGAAGTCATTTTATCCTCTGAAGATGTTCAAAAAGCATGCTGAACGTTATCGACAACAGATACTAGGTTTTTCGACTACCTCTATTTTTCGTCGTCACTCGATTTAATTTGCGAGGGAACTTCGTGCTTTGAAAGATGCCATCAATTGGACAGCGTTTAACAGAAAGGAACCAAGCTACATCAGCTATTGTCAAATTTAACGAGGCAAATTCATTTTTTATAAGAGAACGTTTGTGCGGATTCTTTTGAAAATTTTAAGGAATTTGCTTCGTATTACGGAGAAAATTCACTGAAATTCACACGAAATCCCGCACAACCGTTTTCATGTGAAAAATTAAATTGCGCAATTAAATTTGGCAATAGCTGATGTGCTTTGTTCCTCTCTGTTGAATGTGGTCCAATTATGATACGTTAGGATGCCTTCAGTCTCATATTATACTGTGCGCAACTTCCGTGGCGAAATAGTACCTCAAAGCGCCACGGCACGCCAGCGCCGCGCCGCACATTGGTTCCCAGACCCGATCTAGGTGGCATTAATTCGAAAAAATGAATTTTGGAAAAATTAAAATTTGACACACCAGATTGATAGTGCATACTCTCGAGAGTAACTTGGCCAAATATCATGAAGATTGGATTACTGGTGAGGCCGCGAGGTACTTTTGGGCGGACTCGCACCAGCTTTCAGTGTTTACTGTCAGGTCCTATGATTTGAAGTTCATCACACAGAAATAGATGCAAATGTGAAGTGTTCTGTTATGGTGTATCAAAAATATAAGGTATGCCAAAAGTTTATACGTTCTTACTATCTTTCAAAAACGTGTCTATACATCTAGACAAGCCGTTAGACAAAGCGTTATTTTCTACTAATTCCAAGCAAATTTTTACAAAAATGGCTCTAGATGAATGTCTTGCGCCGGTTCGCACGCATACAGACCTACCGTAGTAGTAAGTACTAACCCTAAACTTTTTTTTTTTTTTTTTTTTTTTTTTTTTTTTTTTTTTTTTTTTTTATTGAGAGTTTAGTGGCTTCTATTCCTTTAGGAATCTACAGCCATCTATAGGCACTATTTATTGTCCGAAGACATCAGGGAGTTTGGAAGACATCCATGCTCGGGCTTACAAATTTTCACGGATTAAGGCCGAGCGAATTCTGCTTACAGATCCACTCGTCAGTTCCATGAAAATTTGTCGCCACCACCGGGATTCGAACCCGGGACCTATTGACCTAGAGTCAGACGCGCTAACCACTAGGCCAACCTGGCCGGCTAACCCTAAACTTGATTTTAGTGCAATAAAATTCTGCGCATACTTGCGTCCCTGGGGGTTAGGGCACTTTGAATTTTCAAAACCGGCTTTCAAGAAATAAAGAATTGACACACTAAGGAGCTTACTGCAGGCCTCAGATCCTTGGGAATATGAATACTGCATTTTTTACAGGTCATGTGGGTTCTCAAGTCTTCATAATCGTTAAGATGATTATTTTTTACTTTGTCTATACTTCTAGAGAAGCCCATAGACTTACCACAGAGCCGGTTTTTTGACTGGAAATTTTACAATTATGGCTCAAAATAAAGGCCCTGCGTAGGTTCGCACACGTGCAGACCGACTGTAGTAGTTAGTGCTGACCCTACACTTGATTTCGGAGCAAAAAAATTCTGCGCATACTTGCGTCCCTGGAGCTTAGCGCACTTTGAATTTCCAAAACCGGCCTTCGAGAAATGAAGAAAATTGACACACTGAGGAGCTTACTGCACTACTGCAGATTCCAGATCTTTGAGGACTGCATTTTTTGCACATCACGTGAGTTCTCAAATCCTCACAATCATTGGGATGATTATTTTTCACCTTGTCTATACCTGTAGAGAAGCCCATAGACTAAAGACAGTTCCCGTTTTTTGACTAGAAATTTTACAATTATGGCTCAAAATACAGAACACGTGGGTTCTTAAATCCGCTTAATCGTTTAGATAATTGTTTTTCACTGTCTGTACCTTTAGAGAGGCCCATAGACATAACACTGTTCCACAGGAAATGGAGCTTACTGCACTCCTCGCGCATTATTCCGTGATTGTATGAGTAAATGTCCTCTAACTTAACAACGAGTGCTTATTTCTTTCTTGGTTCATGATTTCTTCGTGTTTTTATTCTCTCCGGTTTGTAAGGCTCTGAAATCATCGCAAGCTCACAACTTTGTTTAAAAAAGAAAAAAAAGCAAGTGTGACACCTCACTTTTTTTGATGCACAGTAAAATATTATACCGATGAATATTTTCCTGCTCTTACAGACAGTAATCATTTTTCTTTCAAAATACTTTGTTATAATTTTGGTTTCTGCTTTCCTTCATTGAGTGAATATACTTCTTGTTCAAGTAAAATATTTATGTTACGTATGTTTAAATTGCGTGTAGTTAAATGAATTTAAATGTATTTTTCGAATTATAGACGAAGATCGAATCTTAATTCATAGTTATTCTGATAATATATTAATTCTGATAGCATAATTGTACCATTAAATTACAAAGCTTCAAAATTCCTGTTGGTTTTAAAGCGCGGCGAATCAAGAAATCAGCGAGCATTGAGGTTCAAATAAAGTTCTTCTTACGCTGATTTGTCAACACTGTATGAACAACTCGAATAGTGGGATAAGCAGTTTTCTTTGGTACTGGAATTTATTTTCCTCAGGAAAACCACAACATTTAGGAGGTATATTTTACCAGATAATACTAATTCCTGGTTCACAAAATTATACAACATTGCCCCCCCCCCCATAAAAAAATTAGTAGTTAGAGGACAAATCCTCGTAAATTCATCGATAGTTTTTGATGATAAATCAAAAAATGTTGAAAAATATATCAGTCCAGGAATTCAGCCATGTTAAAATATTATTAAATTAGTATTAAGTATGAATTTTCAAGCTAAATGCAAGTTTACCACCTTATGCTAAATGATACAGTCAAATTGACTTCAAATTCGTAATTAGCGACCCAAAGAACCTCTAGAAACATATATAACATGTCATCATCAGTGATATTCTAATTAATGCCACCTAGATCGGGCCCTGGAACCAATGTGCGCCGTGGCGAAGTTATTGTACACAGGAAAAATCTAAGGACCTTCAGCTGAGGTAAATCAAAAGATTCACCCGGTTCAGGTATAACAAGATGGGATTTTCTTGATAGATAATTAAGTCCTGTCGAATCAAAGAGGTGTAGAGAGTTTTAGTAAAAATTCCCTCATGGAATTGCCGCTCCCTCATTTTTACCAAAATTCTCAATCATATATTTCCTTCCGTTGAGCCAAAAAAAAAAACCCAAAAAACCAAAAAAAACAAGCAAACCCTCATTCTTCCATGACATTATACATTTTCAACCGAAAACGTCGTGAACAATCGTCGTCTGTATTTACAAGTGGACCAATTAACGTTGGGTCTCAATTGGTGAGTGGACCAAAACTCCCCTGCCGAAAAAAACGCGTGGACGTAAACTGCTAAGAAAAACTTGTGCGCGGACAAAAAATCATTGACAAAATGTCCTATAATATTTAAATGATCAGCTCGTTTGAATCGAGAAAACATTTATCTCATTTTATTTCTATCAAATGAAATCGTTTATTTAAACCTAAAGTTATGCGTTTTATGCGGTTTCTCAGGAACAGACGACCAAAAGAGCCATCGGTAATTTTACAATCCCTGCACTTGACACCCTATATTCCACGATACCACCGGAATCCATCCCTGCTGCGGAGGATATAAAGATCGAGAAGGAAGACTTTGACAAAATCGTCAAATCCTCAGCCTACATTGATAAAACCTGGTTTATACGAGATGTGTTTGACCTACCGCGATATTCCGTTATCACAGGCCCCCGCGGTTTCTCAAAAACAACGAACCTGAATATGCTGAAGTACTTCTTTGAGCATGAATTAGACGCATCCTACAGAGCACTGGATTCAAAACTTTCCAAAAAAGTACAAGCGTTCAAAGACAAAAAAGTCTTCACGGATGAGAAATTTTTCTGGCAGCACTTCGCAAAATACCCCGTCATCCATATCGACCAGAGCTCGGTGTCTGCGAAAAGCTTCGACCATTTTTTAAAAAGTTTCGTTAAAAACTGTATAGACCCGCTGGTGGTGAAATTCAGTTATCTACTGAATAGTACCGATGTCAGGCCGATCAGTAAAACCGAACGGTCGAGATTCGTGAAAGGCTATAATTGGACCAAAGAGGAGCTTCAAGAATTCGGTGCAGACCTAGCTGGCCTCTTGTTCCAGCACCATGGTACGAAACCGATACTCCTCATAGACGAGTATGACTTCTCCTTCGTGTCTGCACTTCTAGACGCGAGTGTGCTAGAAAAAGACACGGAGGCTATTATGCAATTTCTCGGCACATTCGTCGCTGAAATGGTCAAAAACAACCACGACACAACTCGCGCCGTACTGACCGGTTGTTTGGGCCTCAAACTGGAGTATGATTATTTCGGTGGGGCACCGATCCCAAACGTCCACTACCTGACGATTTTTGAGTCGAAGGAATTGTACTCAGCCTACGGCTTTCTCGAAAGAGACATAGATGAGTTGGAAAAAAGGTTCGCGATCCCACCGACCGAGATGGAAGTCTTAAGGTTGTATTATCGTGGATACAATGTGTATGAAAATGTAGAGGACACTGCAGCGGTGCGACCGCCTGTATCGTCAGATATGAAGATTTACAATACTCTATCCGTTCTCCATGCACTACGTGGGAGAACGATGGACAAAGTTTGGTCTGGGGGTCACATCAAAAAGCTACAGCCACTGCTGAAGGCTGAAAAGTGGGGGCCCCATTTGGAAGAGTGCATGCTGAGACGCTGCAAAATCACGGTGAAAGGTCCCTTGAGGAGGGTGGAACTGATGGAGCTTAAAAAATCCCTACTCAATCCTGTAAATCCAAAAAGCGGTCACTTCATGTTCCAGCTACTTTTGGAATTAGGTTACTTTACAGTTGAAGAGAAGCGAGGTTCTTCTTACACTATCATACCCCCGAATTTTGAGGTCCAGACCATCGCTATGGACGAGTTCTACCACAGCAATTACCTGATGACGCGTTATGGTTTCACTTTGGAGGACGAAATGAACTATGTGGCGTCATTGGAGCAGTTGAGTTCTAACACGACGTCTTTGCATACTCTAGTGCGGTCGGTTCAGGCACTGTTTCGCAATTTGGCACCCAGGGACGAGACTTTCATGCTGGTGGTCTTATTTTACCCCCTTTTGAATTGCTCGGAATTCGCAAGTTTCCGCATAGAGCAATACACCAGTCCGTCACCATCATCAAGGTTTGCTGTGTTCGCGCGACGGAGGCGCGATCTGACAGGCATAATGTTCGACATGAAAACCGGACCAGGGGGTCTTCAGCATTTGGATCGGGCTAGGGCTGGTCCGCTTTCGAATATATTCAAGCAGTTCCCTGATTTGAAGGACACGGTCGATTTGCGACTGGTCGCGAGTGCGAAGAATGAGGTGTACGGATTCTACAACTACACCGTTTTCAATGGGAATTCTACTTGCGAGCTTTGGCCGCCGCTGAAGAATATATCGCGTGTCGATAGCGGTATCAGGTTGAGGGTGAAGGTCAACTCGTCGATGTTGAATAAAAAGAAGAAAGCCGTAGTATAGATGCCTCGGAGTGTATTGCGCCTTCAGTTTTAGCACTTAGGCAAAAACTCTCTCTTCCGTGATGATTTAGTTACCTGCGGGTTGACAATGTTCAGTCCAACTAATTTCTCAGAGAACTGTGCAACGGAAAAACGGCAGAAATGAGTGTCTCGTTTGCGGTGTTGCCGGCTTCCTGTCATATTTCGATTTCTACGCGAAAAGCTATTAGACGTCAAATCATGAATACACTCGCGATTTTTCTTTTCAACGTGAAGAACATTCCGAAAAAATGTCAAGCTATGATGTTGGTTTGTCTTCCTTTAGAAAATAAAATAGGTAGGGCGCCCTGGTAAAAATTGGCAGTAGAATCTGTGTTCCAAAATACCATAGACCTACAGCCGGCTGAAAGATTTCCAATAGCTTCTACAGCCGGCAACACAATTTCTTACAGCCTTTTATAGCCAATAGCGACTAAGCAACAGCCAGACGATAAAGTTTATGCTAAACGTTACTAAATACGGATGCTGGGACTTGGTGAGTTTTTGGGATACTGCTTCCTTCTTGGGCCGTAGTATCTTCATTTATTTTGCGAGGAAAGCTTCGTACCTTTGATGGATGCCTGCCATTACTAATATATTAGAGCGCCTTCAGTTTCGTATGATACTGTGCAATACCTCTGGTGTGAAATAGTTGCTTCAAGCGCCGTGGTACGCTGCGGCGCGGCGGGCAGGCAGCCAGCGCGAAACGCGCAATGGCGCCTACAAACCTAACAGGGATACTTCACGCATTGCGTAATGCGTGAAGTATCCCTGTTAGGTTTGTAGGCGCCAGTGTGCCGCCGCTCCGATTTGTGTTAGGCTCTAATATTTAATCTCGTGGAGTCAGCGTTTTTCAACTTATGTCTTTGAAATGTTTGCACACTCTGTATGGATTATTCTCATTTTAATTGATGAAAAAAAATAATGTGCATTTTGTAAATATTAAGGTGATTCCATACAAACGTAAGGATTTACAAAGCACACGAATTTCTACACAATCTATACTATAATTTCTTATAGCCTTTTATAGCCGATGGCGAAAAAGCAACAGCCAGACGATAAAAATGTAAAGCCCGGCGATAGGAACTTTAGCCAGGCTGTATAATTTTTTATCGCTTCGTGTAGACCGGCAGTATGTTTTTTTCACTTTCTACCGCCAACTATATGATTTTCTATCGCCTTCTTTAGTCGGCTATTAGAACTCCTATAGTATTTTGAAAACCAGCTCCTATTGCCAATTTTTACCAGGGCGGATATTTTGAAACTCCGCAATTGAGATACTCAAGTTTGCAGTTTTACTGTATTATCCTGCAATCCCTATTCTGGCTGACAAAAGTAACACACATTGAAACTTAAACGCATATTTGATTAAAAAAATCTTTAATACGGGCATAAGTAAGTCATGGTTGACTTCAGTTAGCCGTCGTTTAGACAGAAGATAAATTATTTGATCTTGAGTCAATTTTCGATGCAGATGCCACACTGAGGATAGCCTGATATAATCATTTCTTACAATAGAGAAAGGGATAAATGGTCTACATTCTGCTTACAAGGTTTTACTATTTGTAGCTCATTTTTCAGAAACGTGTGCTATTAGTTTCACACAGCAGAGCGGTGCTCTTATGTGCGAGTCAGAAATAGTAGTTGTAAAATGTATAGTATGAATGAAAATTTTCATGTTCAGCAGCTTTTACCACCCTTGACATTGATCAGAATGCGCAGATTCCATATTTTGATGCAATACATTCATCGCACCATATATTTTACGTTATTCACCTTTTCAAGTTCTAAGACATTTTACTAAACCAATAATACCTTTAAAGAGCATTAAAGTCATTAGATAAAAAAAAAAAAATAAAAAAAAAAAAAAAAAAAAAAAAAAAAAAAAAAAACGCACCTCTAAGGTGATTTTTTTCACCAAAATTCTCTCCATGAACTTGTCGTATTCATTTACAATGTTCCTAATTTCATGGCGCCAGATTTTTAAGTATGTTCTGTAATATGTTCTCGGCTTTATAATGAAATCTAATCTTTGGAGTCACAACATTAGAAAAACAATACTTCCTCTCTACCCTATGGGAGCGAGAAAGTAAAAATTGAACGAGTTTTCTTTAGAATTTAGCATTATAGTTCTTATAAATTTAACATCTTTATTGTTTTTGCACCACACCGCTCCTGTCTTAATCCAGCAAAAATTGGTTTGTAAAGAATCTGCAGCCCATGTCGTCAATTTTGGCTACTTTCTTATCCATCTCCCCTGAATTCATGTCAATTAACCTTCCTCTGATATTTCCCCAGAAATACGTGGCTGAGGATTTCACCATGAACACTACGGAATTCTACATAGTCTCAACCCTACCATCCTACATTGACAAGACCTGGTTCATCCATGACCTTTTAAAGCTACCACGCTATCTTGCCGTATCTGGGCCGAATGGTTTCTCCAAATCAACGAATTTGAACACGCTTAAGGCCTTTCTGGAGCTCAAGTTGGACGAAAATAACAATGCCATCAACCCAAGACACACACAAAAACTTCCCTTGTTCCAGAACCAGAAAATTTTCTCCGACAAGACATTGTTCTGGCGGCATTTTGCATTGCGTCCCGTGATTCATCTTGATCTGAAGTCAGTGAACAATACCACCGACTTTAATGAGTTCTTAAAATCCTTCGAGGTTAATTGTATCAAGCCCCTTGTCAATAAATTTAACTACGTGATCAACAGTTCGAATATTCCAGATTGGAAGCTGAAAAAGAAGGAGAAACTATTCTCGAAAGACTTTCTGTGGACTAATACAGATTTATCCGATTTTCCAGCAACACTTGTGGATTTCCTCAGCCACCATCACAGCACCAAAGCTGTTGTCTTAATCGACAATTACGATTATCCCATTTCCAAATCTTACTTGGATCCACACATCACAGAGAGCGATTCCGATGAAATTATGGAGTTCATCGAGAGATTGGTTACCATGGTAACAAAACAAAGAAACACGTATTTATTGTTTCTGACCGGTATCCTGGGATTCGAGCTTGAGGGTGCTCTAAAATTACACTATGAAACGATATTCGATTCACTTTATTCAAGCTTTGGCTTCCTTGAATCCGATCTGGAGATTTTAGGAAATGTATTTGAGCTTCCACCAGATGAAGTGAAAATTTTGAAAATGTACCACGGCGGGTACCGGCATTACGACACTTCAGAAAATGAGATATTCATCAGAAACCCGAAAATAAGAATGTACAATACTTACTCAATCGTAACATACTTGCAGTCAAAACAATCGTCTATTCCATTCGGTGGAGTTGATGCGGTGATACCACTACTCACACATAAAAAGTGTGGGCCCAGGTTTGAGCAATGCGTGTTGGACGAGTGCCATATCTTGGTGAGGAGTGACCAGTGGGTCCAAAAGGACTTGCTTCAGCTGAAAATATCGCTCTACCCCGAGTCTAGAGCAGACTGCGATTTGGTCTTGCGGTTGTTTGCGGATAATGGTTTTTTCTCCGCAAAAATATCGCATGAGTTGCGTACCTTATCCGTTCCGAATTTCGAGGTGAAGGTAAGGTTGATGGACTACCTCTACAAAAGCACGTATTTGAGGGACCGGTACGGCTACTCAGAGCATGATGAGAGGAGGTATGTTTTGGCGATGGAAAATTTGGGCGAAAACGTTGTTACGCTCAAGAATGTGGTTATATCGGTGCAGAATCTATTTCGGAAGATGGTTCCCGAGGGAGAGGAGTTCATGCAACCGGTTTTGTTCTATCCACTAGACGCAGCGGACTTCGCGACGTACCAAATACAGAAATACACGGGTTCCTCTTCAAATTACGATATTTTTGTGAAAAGGAAGCGTGATTCAACTGGGATTCTGTTCAAGTTGCGATGTAAACCTGATGATCTAGGTCGTGCGGTGGAAGAGATGAAAAACTCACCACCTTCGGATGGGCCATTCGAAATGATTCCTGGCTTAAAAGACAGCATTGAATTACGGCTTGTTGTGACTGCAGAGAAGAGAGTGTTTGGGTTCTATAATTATACCAGACTCGATGGGAAGTCAATTTGTGGAGCCTGGCAAACGAAGGATAATTCAACTCTGCACGGCAACAATGCAACTTCAACGAAATGTTGCCATAAATAATGAGATTATCAATTCTAAACGTCACAACTCTGTAAATACAACACAAGACGTATAATTAAGCAAATCTATTAATAGGCCTGTTGCACAGTTTATTGCTTGTATCGAAAGAATTAAGGCTCTTGATGTCACATGAATTTTATCAGAGTTTTTTTTTTAACACTGGAAGCCCTCAAAAAATCAACTTAAAACGCCAAAATTCGGAATTTTAACACGGTCACTTTTAAGCGGGAACGGATCCGGTACTTTCGTGACGTCACAGCACATGAAAAAGCTGATTTTTTCACCGTTTACAATTTATTTCTCTATAGGGATTTAGCAGCCGCTTGATGAAGAAACCAGGTTTGTCATGTACTGTGACGTCACGAGTGTACCGGATGCGTTTCAGCGTAAAAATTACCGTTTTGCATGGATCGGTTCCTAAAACAGTTTTTTTGAGTTTGGGAGGTGATTTTAAGATTTCATAACAGCGCCAGCGCTTTTCGTAAAATTTGCCATGGGAATCAGATAGCAATTCACAAATCCCTGCACCTTGCAACGGGCCCATTGAGTCCACAGACCTACGCGCTGAATTTGGAAAAATTCAGTAACAGTTACATATTTTTTTTGCAGAATATGCATTCATCTTCTCTAATGCCTTCAAAATTTCCAAAACATTGCCCGCCGATTATAGATGACTTACAGTAGAGTCTCGATTATCCGCGATAATTGGGACGGGAGATACTGCGGATAATCGAAAATCGTGGATAAGGCGGATCTACGCAAGACGGCCGGAAATAGTCATCGGAAAGACTGTATTTTAAAGGCATCAGTAAAGACACTTACCATGCATTAGAAAAGAATATAATTATTAACTAAGAATCAATAAACGTTCCCTGCTAAACAAATTAAACTTTATTTTTTGAAGAATTCATCAAATGGAAAAATGGTTTTTCCGAAGAGGAGAGGAATGACCCCAAATTTCTCCGTTCGGTCCCGGTCGCTTTCAAAAGAAATAGAAAACGTGAAAAAAAGTTCGCTCCACAAACCGCGGGTAATCCGAATCGCAGATAACCGAGGCGCGGATAATCGAAAAAAAATGAACTACACTAGAGTCTTCATTATCCGCGGTAATTGGGACCGGAGATACCGCGGATAATCCGAATCTACGCAAGGCGGCCGGAAAAAGTCATCGGAAAGACTGTATTTTAAAGGAATCAGTAAAGACACTTACCATGCATTAGAAAAGAATATAATTATTCACCAAGAATCAATGAACGTTACCTGTTAAACAAATTAAACTTTACTTCTTAAAGAATTTCTTGATGGAAGATTGAGTCATGGATTTGAACCCCTCTTCCACAGACCGCGGATAATCCGAATCGCGGATAACCGAGGCGCGGATAATCGAAAAAAATGAACCACAGTAGAGTCTCGATTATCCGCGATAATTGGGACGGGAGATACTGCGGATAATCGAAAATCGTGGATAAGGCGGATCTACGCAAGACGGCCGGAAATAGTCATCGGAAAGACTGTATTTTAAAGGCATCAGTAAAGACACTTACCATGCATTAGAAAAGAATATAATTATTAACTAAGAATCAATAAACGTTCCCTGCTAAACAAATTAAACTTTATTTTTTGAAGAATTCATCAAATGGAAAAATGGTTTTTCCGAAGAGGAGAGGAATGACCCCAAATTTCTCCGTTCGGTCCCGGTAGCTTTCAAAAGAAATAGAAAAAGTGAAAAAAAAAAAAGTTCGCTCCACAGACCGCGGATAACCGAGGCGCGGATAATCGAGACTCTACTGTACTAATTTTCTGCAGTTTATACACGAATAACTCAAAATTAATTTTACGGCAAGTTATAGTGGTATTGTCGGACAATATTGTATTTTATCCATGAATTTCAATGAAGAAGGGGCAGAGGCGGATCCAGCAATTGGGCAACACTGGATTGTCTCTATTTAAACCTATGCTTAATAATCGATTCTTTTTGGAGCACCTGGCCCCTCCAAGAATCGATACATTTCCATAGGTTTCAATGAAGGAAAGACAGTGTTGCCAATTTCCTGGATCCGCCAATGAAAAGGGGTACTGTTGAGATGATGACTCATGGGCTTAAATATGATGAAATTGAATTACAATGAACCTAGGAAACATTTTTCTATAGAGATGATACCATGCGTGAGGAATCAATTGATGATTAATGATAGCAACTTAGTCTACAGCCTCATCCAAACCTACGAAGCTATTTATATATTGCTCATGTTCCAATTAAATGTTTATGTACTTTTTTAATTTAAAAATTGCATTTTTACTTCCTTGCTTGCTTGTAAGTGGAAGAAGTATTGTCATCGTAATTTATCCCTGTTCGTGTAAATTTTGCATGGGAAAACTATTCTCAAAAATTTTCATTTTAATCAAAATGATGATGAGGAAAACCGCAGGAATTTTAAAGAGAAGCAGACGTAGCGTTTTTTTTTTTTTAAAAAAAAAGGAGAGGGGGATAAAGTAAGACTTGGATTTTGAGAGGCATCGCATGTAATACTCGTCACATGCATCTATGATACTATTATATCATTGATTGAATATAAAAACGGATATTGCTTTAAGAATTTTCATTTTCTATGATAAAAAATTGCAAGCTACAAATCGATCATTGGAATTTCGTGTTATGTATGGTAGGCAAGACTGGACTGGAATGAAGTTGTGTAATTGGTTGGCCTTGTCAGTTTGTTGGATTGTCAAAAAATTTGCGATGCCATCTCCGGCCGTTTAATTAACGTGGCTGACCAATCAAATAGCTTCATTCCATCTTAGATTAGTCTTCTCAACCGAACAAACACATAATTCCAATAATGGGCTCGTATTGCCGAGAGAACTTTGAGAATAAAACACATCTTCCTAACTTTAACAAAATTTTTATTCTTCAATCATATTTGAATGAACGTCCTTCTCCTTAAAAATATACAGTTTCTTTAGTTTTGATAAAACTCTTTAATTCTGAATACTCTCAAAACTATTTCATCGAAAAGATCATACTTTCAATCCTCCGAGAGCCATTATACAATTAAATGCCAGTTTTGAGACTGAGGTGATAAGACTTACTTTCAGCGGTGCCTCAAGCGAACAGTATCCAGAAACAGATGATCTTACACGTGAAAACACAACTTGACTAAAGCTTTTGGATTTGAGATAATACATTTCATCAAATATCCCATGGATCACGGTTCCATTGTTATTACACGCACTAAGTCATGAACAAACTGAGAGTTTATTGATGATTAATTGGACTGCATTTTGCAATTTGGAACTATAAATTCTGGTTCTTCCGGAAATACACTTATGTGCATCGGGAAACGAATGACAAATACGTTGTTTTTAAACCGGGCTAGAATTTATAGTTCCAAATTGCAAAATGTAGTCCAATTCGTCGCCCACATGACATAAGGACATAACTACCCTTCGTGATAACCTCTGTCGTCTACATACCTCAAACTTTCCGAGGCTCATCTCCACGCAGTTAAGCCCTTTTTTCAGCGGTGGTACAAAACGGACAGCATTTTGCAATTGGGAACTAAAATTTCCGGCTCAGTTTAGGAACAACGTATGTACCATTAGTTCCTCTACGCACGTAGGTGTTTTTACAGATGAGCCAGAAAATGTAGTTCCCAATTGCATAATGTAGTCCAATTGGACTGCATTTCGCAATTTGGAACTATAAATTCTGGCTCATCCGTAAAAACACTTATGTGCATAGGGAAACTAATGGCACATACGTTGTTTTTAAACTGGGCGAAAATTTATAGTTCCTCATTGCAAAATGTAGTCCAATTGAGCCTTTTGATTGACCAGTGGTTCATCTAGGGTATGGATCAAAGTTTTCCGCGGACGCTTCAGGCGGCACTTCAAACTATGAGTGATTACGCATCGTTTCCCTCACGTAATAACATAACTACATTCCAAGGTTGCCAAATTTCCCCTCCCAAATTGCATTATTACCGAGAGAGCTTTGGTTACTTTGAACTGAAAATCACACAGAGTTTCCTTTTTATTATATTCATTAAGTACACCATTTTTCAACAAAAATTTCCCAGGTACAATCTTATAAAAAATTAGATTGTTTGATTCAATTTTGCAACCTTGGAATGCAGTAACGTTCCTTCGTATGTGTGGCGTGATTGTTCATATGTCTTTTCCCTAAAAAGTAGATTATGGACGGGAAACTTTCTTGGAAAAGTGCCCTTTTGAATCCCTAAGCTCGATGACCTATTGATCTCTCAGTTTTTCCGTGATTCGATCTTGTAACAGGAGCCTCAGCAATGTTCAGGCAACTTTTACAATCGTCAAATCTGTTGATCATCCGTGCGTCAGTTGAATATCAGATCTTTGTAGTTGTACAAAAGGTAGTAGTTGGAGCAGCGGCAGCTTGTGGTTGTTCGCACAACTGTCATCCGATCTGCTCGCTCGAAATTGGCCTTGACCACTTCGTAATAACGTCCATCACTGAAAAAGTAAAATTAACATTTTATATCAATGGTTGTATAGGTTATCAATATTCTGACAAAACATTCCCTGAAAAAAAAAAAAATATGGTTGATTTTACCACAATCTAACAGAATGAACCGAGTATGATAATTAACACCAAACTCTACGGTAGCATTTACCATAATATGCTAAATATCACCAGAGCTCTAGTGAATAATACTATAATTCTAGTTATTTACACCAAAAAGTATCACTGTGTAAAATATCAAGTAGACTTATGGTAGATGCTACTATACTTTTTTTTTAGTGTTGTTGTTTTTTGGTCTAAAGAAGGGAAAGCCGATTTGTCTTACGAATGGACCTAAAGCCAGTTGAGCAACTGGTGAAACTGTAAAAATAAAAACATTTCGTCTGCTAAAATGCATAATGGAGCAGTAAACAGGGTACGAATTGTAGCATTCTGATACATGTTTTTAAACCAGAATTTTACGTAGAACACGATTCACGCGACGAAAATTACTGAAATGAGGCGTTTGGATAGGACTAGGCGCATAAGTGCAATTCTTGAAAAAAATTGAGATAGGATTGCAAAATCTCCACAATGCTGTGATCCAAGGATTGTAAGCTCGTGGTGTGCACTGTTCGGAAATTGTGTACACCGGGGTAGGTTCGACACCAAGAAAATACGACTTTTCAACGATTTGAGTGCGCACTGTGCTATACGTGCAATGCATGAAGTATTGAAGTATCCAGTAGACTTGTAAGGCGCTATACTGTGCGTTGCTCGTACCGTGCTGTAAGTGCAATGCATGAAGTATCCTGCGGTCTTGTAAGGCGCTACTCGCGCCGTGCCAGCTCCGCGCCGGCTGCACTGTGTTTGTTGCGATCATTCAAACAAACTTGCGGTGTCAGCGGTTTTCAACCTATGATTTTAAGGTCTTTGTAAAGTTTGTTGGAATTGTTGTCTTTTCAAATGATAAAAACATTACATAAAACACAACTAATTTTCTTCTCTTCATTTAAATATTTGTATAAATAATTTTAAGTAAAAGCACGCAAGTGACGAGACTTTCGCGTATCGGCTCTCTCGTTGCTCATCAATGTAATGGCGTGATCATTTGAACTACATTTTGCAATTCGGAACTATTCGAAATTTCTGGCTCATCTGTAAAAACTCTGGTGTGCATGAGGAAACTAACGGCACATACGTCGTTCTTAAACGAAGTCAGAAATTGTGGCTCCTGATTGCAAATGAAGTTCATTTGATCAACGAACTCTTTCGAAGAGTAGAGTATGGATTCGACAAAGCGGAGGGTATGGATTCGATCGAAATGAATCGATCAAAAAGTAAAAACGTGAATTGGTCGAAAAACTCGTAAATCGATCGAATTGACGCCGTTTTTTTGGTCAATTCGTCGGTTGAATTGGTGTCGATCGGTTCACTGCCATCGGTAAGGGGGCTAAGATGTCAAAATTGATTTTGGTAACTTTCCCTGCCGATTTTTGCTCTCTCAAATCTATTGATACTATTGTCATGAGAAATAAATATTATATCATATATATATTATATATATATATTATATATATATTATATATTATTATTATTATATATATATATTATATGTATTATATATTATATCATATTACAATTATTTCCATAATTAATTATAAAGATACGAGATTTTTAAGTGTTCATTTGTTTATAATCTTGAATTATTAAAAATCAAATAAAAGACCAATTTTACAGAGAAAAATTTTCTCCTGGCCACGCTAATGAAACACTAATGTGTCGCAAATTAAGTGCTTTTTTTTAACCACTATGTTTAGTTCTAAATAAGGGTCAATGACTTTCGGATCCATGCGATTACAATATGGCGAGCGGTCAGTGGGTCAAGAGGTGACGGGGCTCAAACGTAAAAGCCGGCGGCGTGTAGCTACTTTTGGACGCCGCATTTCTATAGGTAACTAAGTCATAACTAGAGAGAAGTTAGAGGCAAATGACCTCTTTTGACATGCGGAGGAAATTGTTCTATTTGCCATCGTACCAGAACAGTACTTTCGTACTCAAAAGTCCAAGACTTTCTGATTCATGATTATAAATAATGTATACAGGTCAGCAAGTCGTTGCGGGTGAACTGCCTTCAATTTAGAGATCATGCAATTCGCAAATGTGCGGGCCCCTTGGGCCAGCCAGTACCCCGGGCCCTGCCCTCAAATCAACTTCTTACTACGATATTGGCCTTTTTATTTTATTGGTTAAAAGAAATTTGAATTGCCCGGTCACAATAAGAAAAATACTTAAAGACCTAGATACGCACGGCGATTAATTGCCGCGAGTGAAAGACTGAATAAACCAATGGGAAGCCTTAATTTCGATCCATTGACGTCGATATATCCAAATCAAGGCTCTCCATTGGCTTTCATCTTTCACTCGCGGCGAGTAATCGCCGTGTGTATCTAGGCCTTAACGCGAGTCATATTGTGTGCGCTACACACACAGGATTACATAGGCTTTTCATTCGAGCATTGCCTCTTTCCCACACTGTGATGTTTAAAGTGTTAAGGTGATTCGATGGACGCCATATTATGTGTCAGAACGGCATGCGATATATCGCATCAATTGGTTCCATATTTTCAGCTACTCGTCATTTTTCTCCAATTTTGAGATCGCAATTCTGTTGTCAGGAGACTTAAGCACTCACTTAGGTACCAATTTTAACAAAGAAATTCGACGTAATAAAGGCATGGATTTTTTTAGAGAGAAAACGTCGCATTCGATACTGATATCGAAACTGCACTCGAATGCGATATTTTCTCTCTAAAAAAACCACGTCTTTATTACGTCGAATTGCTTTGTTAAAATTGGTAAGTGAGTGCTTAAGTCTCCGGACAACAGAATTGCGATCTCAAAATTGGAGAAATATGACGAGTAGCTGGAAAAATGGAACCAATTGATGCGATATATCGCATGCCGTTCTGACACATAATATGGCGTCCATCGAATCACCTTAACAACTTATTATGGCTGAACCAAAGCGTCAATGTTGAGGTTATCATATTTTCATATCGGGGAGACTGTCATTGTAACTTTTACTGTGCGATTTAACACAAGTAGATTGTTGTTTTCCCCCCTGAGCGTGAAGTTTCCAATTTGTGAATCTAAAAACGATGCCAAGTTGGTTCAGAGTAAATTGATCCGAGGAACATACCTGAGTACAAGACACCTCATCTTCAGACACTTGACTCGCAAGATATCGATGGCTTTCTGACTCTTGTCGGAAAACCTCAAGTTTTCAGGGTCCCATCGAAGCTCCAATCGCTCTAAATTCGGACAATTGTTGGCGATACCGTCCATCAGCTGATCCACGTGGATGTTCACGCCAAGTCGCTCCTGCGTCCCCATAATTATGATCCTAAAAAAAAAAATTAGATGATGGTGGTCAGTAGATTCCTTTCTTTACCACGCAAGGAAAGAAGAAAGGAAAAACTCGTGGTACGGGTGATTTAAAAGAAACAAAAAACAAGCAGTGAACTCCAACACAATGTGTTGATAAGGCGCGTCATTAACTCGCACATATCAACCCCTTTAGTTTTCATTTACAGAGATTTCAAAATAGGCAAACAGCATAAAAAGAGAATTCACGATCCAACACTGCGAGGTCAAAGACGCACCTTGACGAGACCGTGTATTGTGAAAGTAGAAAGCTATTCGATCGAATTTAAGTTTTTTGATCTGCCTCAAGCAAAATCTTATCAGATTCTTGAAGAAAAGTGCTACGGAATAATTTAAGCGAAGAAAGGAAAAATTCTGTCGAACTCCTAGAAGATAAAGTCGATTTAAAGGTATTTTGGGGCTAAAATACCCAAATCACCGGTAGTAAAAATCCCGTTATATTATTGAAAAGAAATTGACTCGATATAAATGCAATTGCATTAAATACGTCTTGATTTTGTTATTTTAAACGTCTTTCCATGCAAAGAAGTTCAACCATGTCGTTGCTTTATTCATTCATGAATTGAAAGTAAGCAATCTACATCCCGAAAATCTACTGATTTGCCGTAAAAAATTGCAGAAACTTGATATACCAGGTCGATGCACCCACTCGTTGAATTTACCAACCAATTTTGTGAGTGCAAATGTGTAAGAATCAATATGCTATAGTCATTTTGGGTGCATTTATTTTTCATGAAACAATAATAATTTCAATCCCGAAAAACCATCAATTTTCCGTATAAAATCGAAAAAATCAAAATATGTCAACTCCCCGACGTGAAAATTAGATTCTACGTATGTAAAATGTAAATACTTATGTATCGATATGCTGAACAGAACTATGTGTGGACAGTCAGAAGCCCGCGGCAACATTAATTCAACAGAAAAACTGTAAAAATTAGATAGGATTTTAGCCGCTTTGCCCGCCTCTCCTCGCTACTTACAACAAACCGTTCTTATACTCATCTCAAAATTTTTCTCAGAGCTTTGGGTTATTATCAGCTTCCATTTAAACTCCGGTTCGATGGCCGAATCGGCTGCCAAAAAAGCAAGCCACTGTTGAGGGGTTCTATGAGAAATTCGTGATATTATCGGCTCTCAGGAAATCACCCCATGGCTAAAATTGGTGGTATAAATGTTTAAGTGCTTAAAATAATCGTATTCAAGAAACTAAGGAATTAAACTATGGAGTCAATTTCTTTTTAATAATATAACGAATTTACTACCGGTGATTTAGCTATTATAGCCCCAGAATACTTTTAAAGCGCCTTTGCGTTCCAGAATCTCGACGGAATTTTTTTTTTTTTTTTTTTTGCTTAAACGATTCAAGAAACATTGTAGTTAAAAATATAAAGATTTTTCGATTTGGACGTATGAAAAATGTTTAACTCGTTCAGGCACACCGTGTATTGTATGGAGTACTGCTGTTATTCGACCGTTGTCTTCAGGTCAAAATTCTTACAAAGAAGCCCCTTGCAAGAGGCAAATTTTTTGTAATTTCTCCCAGTTTTTTCAGCGTTAGGTATATAAATGAATTGTTTGTCAAATTTTGAGGTCAATTATATTTAATTGTAATTTATACTTTCTTTTTTTCCCCTTCATTTTATTTTTCGTATCGAGGAGTCGAGGTTTTGTTGATTTCTTCGGATTTCGATTACTGTAACTTCTCTTCTATTCGGCCGATTTTTATGAATGAGGTCTCTTTTTATTTGTGTTTTAACGGAGAGTAAGGAAAAAATTGCTAAATACATGCGAAACAATTTTTTTTGAAAATTGGATGAATCCTAGCGTGACGGTGAAATGGTTAATGAAGCGTGAGTAATTGGGGTACGGGTATCGGCCGCGTTGGGACCCAAGGCCCATTGTTCTTCGTGACGCCGACGCAGTGATCAGGAGCGTGGGGACGAGAGGGCTTAGTGGACTCCTGTATGAGCCACGTTTAGCAAATGGTCTAATGAGTCTCGAGGCTCATCACAGATTGCACTTACCACTATCCTGGTGGCCCCGGCTATCAGAGCAAGGAGTACCAACTTTTGAAAAGGATAACAGTGTTGTGGAGATATGTCAAAGCAACGTTGTGAACAAAACGGAGTGAGTGAAATTCTCATTCAAGGAGTGCCGAACTGGTCAGCCATCCTCGAATCAGTTCGCTTGCTTCCGCTTATATATGCATATTTTAAATCAGCGCGCCCCATTCTAAGGTTTTTTTAAAAAAAACCAAGAAACGTAGACTCTTGGTATTCATTACACATAAACTAGCGAGCCCCAGAATGAGAAACAAATTTTAATCATTATTATTGACGGATTAGTAAACTTTTTACACGCTTTGGAAAATCTCAGAAGTTCGCGGTAGTCACTTTTCGGTAAGGAACTAGGGGACTCGGTTATTGTATCGAGGGGGGGGTCGAAACGATCGCAAAGGCGGTATACTACGTATACGCGCCAAAAAACTAGGCCTTGTCTCCACGAGCCGTCTCACGAGATTTGTCCCAGGGAAAAATCCCACTTACGAAGTTGGGAAAAATATTGCGTTAATCAACATTTTTCCCAGTACCAAGTATGTTACTTGTATCCCTAGGACCCACTGAGAGAAGAGGAAGAAGTGAAAACGAATTATGCGATATTTTATTCATTACTGCATTGTTCATGTTTGTTTACTTAAAATAATGTGTCTGATTGTCAATTGAGTGCAATTATTATTTTAATCCCGGTTAAATACTCGACTATAACTAATTTATCTTCCCGCGCAAACTAGTCGCAGGATTGTATAAGCCCCGTCCCGTGGAGACGGTAACTGGGAGAAATCCCAGAAGTTTCATTCCTGCGATTCGAACTTGGGACAATTCCCATGAAAACGTCCCGTGGAGACAAGGCCCTACATGATTTCTGAGTGTATCCTCCTTGTAAACAGAAAAACATTAAAATTAAAAAAATCAGTTTTCAGCTTTATTTATTTATTTATTTATTTATTTATTTATTTATTTATTTATCCATTTATCTATTTATTTATCTATTTATTCATTTATTTATCTACTTATCTATTTCTTTATTTATTTATTAATCTATTTATTTATTTATTTATTTATTTATTTATTTATTTATTAATTTTCATTATTTTTTTTTTAGGGCAATGGCGATTGGGCGTCGCAGAGCGCGAGGCGGCGCTATAAAAGCGGCTTTATGTACGTATTTTTTTTTATTTTTTTTTTTTACCATTTCAAGTACTCGCACAATCCTCTGCTTCATAGGCACATTGCCAAGTCTTGAAAATCCTGCGACTTCAACGGTTGCAGGAATTAGCGTTGTGGGTTGGTGCTTATAGTTCGCCTTCAATTTCGAGTGATACTGTGCCACTCGTTTGCAACGAACACCTTAATAATCGATCCTTTACCACATACTCAAATAGGGAGATACCGATAATCGATCATCTGCACTGGGAAGAAGATGTGATGTACACGCGGAAAAAACTGTGACTCACTTGATGTTTGTGAGAATAGGAAGAATGGATTGCCAAAGCTGGTCGGTGATATGAGGCATACCCGAAAGTGACAAGCCCCAAAGTTGGTGTCCGTATCGTGACAGAAACTTGTGAAGACCATCGTCCGTTACGTTATCAGAATGGGAGAGGTCCAACGCCACTAAACTTCGAGGATTTCCTTGCTCCATCCACGCTTTCAAAACCTGAAAAAAGTAGCTCATCAATGAGGTTGCCTGAAAAGTTGGGTATTTCGGTTGTTACCGATTGTTTCTGTGTCGAACAAAGAACATGATAGTATATCGTCGACCTTGCTGCCAAAGTATCACAAACGCTATGCGACATTTCAAAATTTCAGCTGCCATTTTATTTTGAACTATTCATTTATTAGAGAAGAAATTCGCTCTCGATTCAAACGAGCTGATCATTGACATCAGATTGATAGAGTACTTTAACTTTAACTATCTACTTCTTTAAATTAACAGTTTATGTTTATCGAGAAATGTCAGAATTGTGTTCAAATACAAAGTTGTGGGTTAGGTAAAGATCTGAGAAAGCTCCCGTATAATTACCTAAAAACTCTCAAATAACTTGACTGGGCAAAAAGACCAGCACGAAATTGATCGCCACCTTCCGGTCAAAGTATTACAAGCGCCATGCGACGTTTAAAAATCCCGCCGCTACTTTATTTTTTTAACAGAGAAATTGTTCAAAAAAGCTGTCAAAAATTTCACTGAATTTTCTCAGCAGCGCAAAGAAACTTCAGTGAAATTTTCCAACAGATACAACCAAAAATTTCTCTTTAAAAAAATAAATTAGCAATCGAAACTTTAAAATGTCGCATGACGCTTGTGATACTTTGACCAGAAGGTGACGATGTGAGGAATGTCGATGACCAAAGTGCAAACCACGTATCTCCAACTGTGGTGATCAACACTGTCATGTTAAGGAAGAACGCCGTATGAGCCTTCAGACGTTGTCATATTTTATTCAATAAATACCCCTTTTACTTGGAAAATTTTGGATATTTTCCTTCAATTTTTTCGGAAAATTTTGTTCGAAATTTTATCTGAAACGTCTGAAAATTTCAAAGAAAAAATGAATATTTGTTTTCAAAAATAAACGTTTTATTCGGGGCAACTTGGCCTCTCCAATGTTCATACAGCGTTCTTCCTTAGCCCGGCAGAATAGGTATCTCAAACTTTTCGTTCCTAGTTTATTTTTTTAGGAGACGATAAGCCGCCTTTGTAGCTTGAATTAATGCACACAGAATATTCTGTTAATAAAGAGGAAAAATGAAGTAAGTTCTCAAGAAATTATGTTGACTGGTTTTTCGAAAACAAAAATGAATGAATAAAGTACGAAAGGAGGTCTACATCGTCGCAGACGGAGATACGTGGTCTCGCTCTCAGAGACGGATCCAGCAATTTGGCAACACCGGATTTCCTCCACTTAAACCTATATTAAATAATCGATTATTGCCAGAGCACCTGGCCCCTCTAAGTATCGATATATTTCCATAGATTTAAATGGAGAAAAACAACGTTGCCAATTTGCTGAATCCGCCAATGATCGCTTTTGGGCCATCGAAATTCAACCGAATCTGTAAAAAGGGCACTTATCTTCCAAAAATTCTTTGAGTTATTGTTACCAAAGGGGCCTGCGGGTCGATTATTGAAATTGATAGACAAAGCAATAGACAAAGAAGACATAAGGAGTATAAAGCAATCCTATTGATTGAAATGAGTGGCTCTTATGGACTAAGGGAGAAAATGATGGACTAACTATCGAGTCTCTCGTGGGTTGCCGTCAGTTAGTCTATCACCTGGTCCTTTGTCCATTGCAGCCACCCGCTTCCACCAATAGGACCCCTCAATACCTCTTTTGTCTCCTTTGTCTATTGATTTGTCTATTAATTTCAATAATTAGCTCGCCGAAGAGTTAAAAAATCGACGAAGTAATCTGACTGACGATCAGTGTTGCTGTCAGCTCGCTTTTGCGCTTTTGCGTCTACGTTGTAAAGATTGCGAACTTTGACTCTTTTTTACAGGATGATCAAAGGAGGAAATAGAAAAAGAGAGGAATGTAAAAGTAAATAGATGAATAAATAAAAAAATCATTTTCAACGGAAAAAACTTGAAAAGCTCGTCGATATTAAGGTTCAAATTAGCAGAGAGTACATCGATTTTGAAACTGCACGCGGAAAAAGAACCTCGATTGCAAAGTTGGATAATTTCGAAGATAATATCTGAAATAGCGCTTCAAGCCACGTCTGCCATCTCGGATTTTTGAATTGTGAAATTTTGACTGAAAATTGAACTTTTACACCAAATGAGACCCCCTAGTGCCAATTTTCACAGAAATGGATCGAACGGGAGCCGAGATAGCGTTTTAGGCCACATCCGCCATCTTTGATTTTTGAATTTTGGAAATTTGAGTAGAAATTCAAGTTACCCGTCTAAAAATGCAGCCTGATACTGAGTTTCTAAAAAATTGGACCGAATAGGGGCCGAACAGGATCAGTAGGACTCTACGCAGTAGTAAAAGATACCAATCCGATCACGAACGTCAGTGCGCCTTCAATTTCGTCTGATACTGTGCAATACTTCTGTGGCTGAATAGTTGCTCAGAGCGCCTTCAAGAGTATCACCTCGACTTCGACTAGCGGTGCGCGGTTGCACATTTGCTCATCGGTAGAACTCATACTTTAATTCGTTCATTCATACTTCAATTTGCGACGTTGCAAGTTTTTCACTACCTTTTTAATGTGTGTGGGTAAACCAATAAAAACACTTATAAATCTGCCTTGATTTTCCCGAGGTTATGATGACACATATTATTTGAATGTTTCATCCAGGTCTATTGGTACGCTTCCGTTGAAAATGAAACAAGCAGTATAACTGGACGTATTTCTGCCGAACGGAACTATGTGTGTTATGGCGTGAGCTCTATCATGCATGTATTCTGATGGGTCTGAGGGCTCATGTCTTAATGCACATAGTTCCGTTTAGTAGAAATACGTCCAACTAGCATTTTAGGTATTAACGAAACTTCGAACGAGCAAAACTGGGTACAAAAGTTATAGCCCTTGAAGTAATAGAGGAGGAAAATCTGGAAATTGTGGCGCAAGGTTGACTCTAAGAGCTCAAAAAGCCATGGAGATAAAATGGCGTTCTAAAGTTCCAAGACTAAGTTCTCAAGTTTTAGGTAAAATTTTTAGGTTAAAAAGCGGACAAATTTATGGGAAAGGAGCAGATTACGCCCTTTAGGGTGAGAAAATCGAACTAAAATCGCTTGTAGTTCGTTCTGTAGACTTTTAGAGAGCGTTTTGCTCGAAACTGCCGCAATTTCGAAATTTTTCGCGTGTAGTTCGGTTCAGATTGAAATGTTTGCACTCACTGACTCTAAAAGCTCAAACACTCATTTAGATATAGCGTTCTAAAGTTCCAGGACAAAGTTCTCAAGTTTTCGGTGAGATTTTTAGGTTAAACAGCGGACGTGCTCATGGAAAATGAGCAAATAATGCCCTCATTCGAAATCGCCGCAATTTCGAAATTTTTCGCTTCCACTTCGGTTCAGGTTAGAGTACCTATATAGCGAGAGTATGGACAGATCTCTTCATGGAGGGCTTAGGGCCCAAAAGTGCAGCCACCCTTCTAACCAACTTCTAACACACAAAATTTCACTGCCAGTCTGCAGATTCCAATTCTAACCAAGATGGCCAAGAATGTACAGAAATGAGCGTTCTTCCGCAAAATTGAGTAAATCTATGCAAAAACTGAGTCAAACACGTGCTTAATAAACGACGGTTCCTAACAATAGTGTTAGTAAATCGTTCTGGATAATTGAAATTCATAGATTGCCTGCATTTCTGGGCCCTAACTTTATTCTCAGAAGCATCGGTGAAGGCCTGATTGATTTTCGGAGTTTCACATCTGTTCATACTCTCGCTATACAGGTACTCTAGTTCAGATTGAAATGTTTGCACTCACCGAATCATTAAAGCCGTTGATCTGTCCGGCACTAAGGAACCTGAGACTCGGGATACGGGTGAGCATATCGACGAGACACTCTGTAGATAAGTCCGTTGCCGTGATGTCCAGTTCCTGCAGGGCTGTCTTCTCCCAGTCCACCTGCATCACATGCTCGCTCACTAGACCTGTTGAAAATGATAAAATTAGCCGCATGAGAAGGAGTGATTATCAGGGGCGTAGCTAGGAAAGTTCAATAAAATATATTTTATACCTGTAAAAAATTGCCTCTGGCCGCAGGGATACAGCGTTTCATGAAACTTGATGAAATGAAGTTTCTTGAAAACCACTTCGCTATGTAATGAAACGCACAGAAACAGGAAATATTTTGAATATAATTTAAGCATTTTAAAAAAAGAAAAAAAAAAGAACCAAAACAGGTTACTTTTTGAATTAATTGGAGCATTGTTGCGGGTTGCAACCTAAAAATTGTTGAGATATCTCGGAAAATAAAATTTCATCCTCTATGTAAACCAACAAATTCTCCTACACGTTTAAAATTAAGTATGTATGTGCCGCTTTAATAGCGCTCTTTGGCGCTCTGCGACCCCTAGCCACCGAAGTCCCCTATCCTCCCAAAGCCCTTCAGGGAGTTGGCAAACCCGCATTTCTTCTAAAACCCCCCTTACTTCTTACGAAACTTCTTAAAATTTCTTAAAATTAAGTACGGGCTGTATTCACAGTCGTTATTTGAACAGCTCCTTTTCTTCGAAAGGCTGCATTTTGCTTTTTAGAGAGATTTTAAGATGGCTCGATTTGGTGGTGCGACATCAACCATTAGCTTACTTGTTTGGTTCATAAGGAGGCATCTCAGTCTTTTACTTCTTTGGAATAAAGTTTTCATTGTGGATCCCGTGACTTTCGAACAGTAATTCACAGCCAAACATTCTAACTGAAATAAAAAAGAACCCATTCCATTAAAATGATAAAGAAAGAAAAACAAGCAGTGAACTCCAACACAATGTGTTGATAAGGCGCGTCATTAACTCGCACATATCAACCCCTTTAGTTTTCATTTACAGAGATTTCAAAATAGGCAAACAGCATAAAAAGAGAATTCACGATCCAACACTGCGAGGTCAAAGACGCACCTTGACGAGACCGTGTATTGTGAAAGTAGAAAGCTATTCGATCGAATTTAAGTTTTTTGATCTGCCTCAAGCAAAATCTTATCAGATTCTTGAAGAAAAGTGCTACGGAATAATTTAAGCGAAGAAAGGAAAAATTCTGTCGAACTCCTAGAAGATAAAGTCGATTTAAAGGTATTTTGGGGCTAAAATACCCAAATCACCGGTAGTAAAAATCCCGTTATATTATTGAAAAGAAATTGACTCGATATAAATGCAATTGCATTAAATACGTCTTGATTTTGTTATTTTAAACGTCTTTCCATGCAAAGAAGTTCAACCATGTCGTTGCTTTATTCATTCATGAATTGAAAGTAAGCAATCTACATCCCGAAAATCTACTGATTTGCCGTAAAAAATTGCAGAAACTTGATATACCAGGTCGATGCACCCACTCGTTGAATTTACCAACCAATTTTGTGAGTGCA